CTCAACCAGAAGGATTCAAAATTCTTGGAAAAGAGAATTGGGTCTATAAGTTGAACAAATCGTTGTACGGACTGAAGCAATCTCCGAAACAGTGGTACAAACAGTTTGATAAGTTTATGATTGGGCAGAAGTACACGCGAAGCAGACATGATCATTGTGTGTATTTACGCAAGCTGCAAGATGGATCTTTCATTTATTCACTCTTGTATGTGGATGACATGTTGGTTTCATCAAAGAGCCAAGTGGAGATTGATCATTTGAAGGCTCAGTGGAATCAAGAGTTTGAGGTGAAAGACTTGGGAGAAGGTAAGAAAATACTCGGGATGGAGATAAGGAGAGACAGAAGGAAAGACAAGCTTTGTTTGACTCAGAAGCAATATCTGAATAAGGTATTACAGAGTTTTGGCATAAAAGATGAGACGAAGCCTGTAAGTACACCACTTGCCCCTCATATTAAATTAAGTGCCCAATTATTGCCAAATTGTGATGAAGAACGAGAGTACATGGCTAGTGTCCCACATGAAAATGCAGTTGGCGGTTTGATGTATGCGATGGTGTGTACAAGGCCCGACATTTCACAAACAGTTGGTATTGTTAGCAGGTATATGCATGACCCTGGTAAAGGTTATTGGCAATCTGTGAAATGGATACTACGGTACATTCATAGTACTGTAGACGTTGGATTAGTTTATGAGCCGGATGAATTTGACCAGTGTGTGGTTGGATATTGTGATTCCGACTACACGGGCGATTTGGGTAAGCGAAGATCAACGACTAGATATTTGTTCACTTTTGCAAAACCTCCAGTCAGTTGGAAGTCTACCTTACAGTCAACAGTTGCTTTGTTTACAACACAGACAAAGTATATGGCGGTTACTGAAGCTGTGAAGGAGGCTATTTGGCTTCAAAGTTTGCTTGAAAACTTAGGAGTTGGTCAAAAGTACGTCTTAGTACATTGTGACAGTCAGAGTGCTATTCACTTTACCGAAATATCAAGTATTTCATGCAAGAGCGAAGCATATTGATGTTCGCTATCACTTTGTGCGGGAGATTCTAGAAGATGGAAGTGTTGTATTGAAGAAGATCAAGACGACGGAGAATCCTACAGATATGATGACCAAGGTAGTGACAGTAGTCAAGTTTGAACATTGTTTAGACTTGACCAACATTCTGCATATTTGAGTTGGCACCGAGAGGCGCATTTGGAGGCACCGCCAGCAGTTGATTTGGATTGAAGAGTAGGAGTGGGAACAAAATTAGTCAAGGTGGAGTATTGTTAGTTTTATTATTAATTTGTTGTCCCACATCGGATGTATAGCAAAGATGTATAGGATCTTATTAGTATAAATAGGTCTCTTGCCTTTGGGTTACAATTACACCTTATTCTATTCTCTCATCTCTTAGAAGAAAATTCTAATTTGTGGTTTATTTAACCCTAGTTGTATTTTGTTGGTGAATTTAGTAAATTTGGTGTTGCGGTTGGTGGTGCCCGGAGACGTAGGCAATATTTGCTGAACTCCGTTATCAATTTTTGTGTTTTTTTTTTTTTCTTTCTCGTCTTTTATTTATTTGTGTTGGCTTAATTTCGTGTGGAGTAGTGTTTGTCATATTTGTTGTAGGAGTATTTTTGTCCGCTGTGATTGGTGTTCTACCCCAACAGCTCAAACATTCTTATTTTTTTCACGAGTCGAGCTCAAACAACATTTTACATGGCTTGTCGTGCTCGAGCAGTGAAGAAAAAAGTTTGAATTGCACTCGACACGGTCCATGCTCAAATCGTTTGCAACCCTATGCACATGTAAGTTGGGTCACTATACGTCTTACATAGTGAAATATTATATATCTATATATATATATATATATATATAATTGCAATTATTTTGATATTTTTCANGAAAAAAAAAAAGGATACTTCAACACACTTTAAGATTCTTCTTTTTTTTTTTCATCATTGTTTTATTTATTTACTTGGTTTTAATTGAACTTTATTCCTTTTAATTATCAAACTTAATTATTTACATTTTGTGGCCGGCCTATCTTTTTCATGATTGTGTTAACTTTATATCATGTTGTTCTCTACGTGGATTTATACATCAGCTATTCATGAGGATCTTAATTATCGTTCTTATTTGAAAAATAATTTTATATATAAGATATAAAATAATCATAAACTGATTATAATGAGATAGAAAAATATTAAATTACAATTAATAATTACAAATGAAAAGTTAATTTTATTGACAAAGGTATAGTAATAAATGTTATTTTATTTAAAATTTATACATAAAATGTAATTGGTGAAAAATGATATGAGTTAGATAATGTGTTTTTTTTTTATTGATTGATGAGATAATTATGTTCTTGAAACCCCATAATATTAAGCAAGAATTTGGTCAAAACCTTGAGTCTAAAATGAAAGAGGGAAAAGTCAACCATGCAAAACTCACGTGAATAAGATGAACTTATAAACCTTTCCAAATCTAAATATATTGTGCTTTAACTCATAGTATGATCTTTATTGTGATTTTATCTTTTAATTTATATAATAGAACTTTGTTGACTATATATATACAAATTATTTTGGTTGTTCTCGTTTATTTAACCAAACTAAGATCCTTTAATCAATCTTTCGAGCTTCATATCAATTTATAAATGGTAAAAAATACTAAAAGTCCAACATATCAACCTTGAAAAATGAAAAAGGGGGGAAAAAAAAAAAGAACATTGCTCATTCATCATATAACATGACATTTTAGTTACATAATTGATCCAATCGAAAGGTATTTTTTCACTGTCAAAAAATTGTGCTTTATTTTTTGTTTCATTAATTAGAGAAAGAAGTCACCGCGGATAATGCTACATAGAGTAGGCTCTATTGCTATGCCCTACTGCTCAAGAACCAAAGCAAAGAAGGTCGCACGCTCTAAAGCGTCAGTCTGTTCAATCTGAAAGCGAACCAAGCCAAGCAAGCATGTAAGTCCTTTTCTCGATCCTAGGTCTCCCTTGTTGGATACTTGCTTTCTGTCTCAAGTCCAAAAGAAGAGGTAGGTAGATCGTTTCGCAACCATCGTAGGTTCGACTTTACTAGTTAGATTGTTCACTTCGTTCAATCTTTTCTTTGAGCTCTCTTCTACCTCATTCGTTCTAGCTCCCTTTGAACGAGCCTAGTAGAACGAGGCTCACACAATGGGAAGGGAATAGATGCATTTTTTTTAAGAAGTCAAAAGAGAAAGAACAGCACTAAAGGTGGAGAGAAAGAAGGGATAGGGATTAGGATGTACACTTTGTCCAGACAGGCTCAGCCTCTTCCTCCTCCTATACGTAAACGTCTTATCATGCACCTTTTCAACCTTCTTGATGTTCGTGCTTGGTTTGCCGCGAAAGGAAGGAATTGCATTTGCTTGTTCAGAACCAAGGATGCCCGATTCTTCTTCTTTGAAACTGATAGTACAGTATGCTGAGACTGGATGAAGGCATTGAAAGTGAAAGGACGAATCTAAAGTCAAAGATTGAATTTCGCAATAGAATCTAACGGATTCAGTGGATGGGGCTCAGGTCTTCAGGCATAGCTCGTGGGCCCGTGAGGCCGGAAGAGAACCATGATTATCTTAAGAGATCATTATGAGTTTCCCTTTCGCTGTCCAACTGTAATTTGTTTTGAAAGTCGCGTGCAAGAGCGTCAGTCAGAATGGAAGACGAAGTCAGAAGTTCAAAGTAAGGTGACGAAGTAGGGAACGAACGAAGCGAAGCGAAGTGAAGGAATAGGAATAGAAATAGCTTCTAACGTTCCTGTTGGAGATGCAAGTAAGGTAGTCTTAGTGAGGGCCCTAGTTGTGAGCTAGATAGCAAGCGTTGTGCCTAGTGGAGGGAATAGAGGACTTTGATTGAAAGAAGAGGGGAGAGAAGAAAAGAGTAAAACGAAGTAAAAAGAGTACCGAGTTTTTATTTTGCATTCCGTTGCACTCAAAATAAGAGTACCGAGTTCAGTTACATGCTTATATTTATTATGCTGGCATTAATGCAAAATAAGAATGACCCTAACCAAAAGTGAAATTATCTTACGATATATTAAGTAGTTTAATTTATCTTTATCAAAGTAAATCAAAACTGGAGTGGGTGGGGAAAATTTGACAAAAACATAAAGACAACATCAAATTAATTGCACAATGGCTGGCACAAAACACAAAATAAAAGTACAACAATTATAAAAACACGATTATAAAAACAAATTACACGACGAGCACGATAGACACATATTGACTCCACACACAATACGAATCATGCGAAATAAAAAAAAAATAATTAAACTTAAACCCATCATTATATTTATGTTCCAATAAAAATAAATAACACCAAAATACGATTATTAAATTTAAATAGCAGACTAAAAAAATCAGTAGTTACTGCTCGGTCAGGTTATTCTTGCAATTTAATAAAAGAAAAATATAAATATAAGATTCTCCCTAAACAAACTTATAAAATAAAAAAGTCAATTATATACTTAATTATAAATACAGGTTTTCAATTTACCACAATGAGATGGCTTGCTCTAAACTAAAACACCACTCCTCAATTATTTTCTAATTTTTTATTATTATTTAACATAAAACTAGCGCTAAAGTCCAAAAATGGATGAGAAAACAAAATAATGATCAGAGCAAAGAAATCATAAGTGGGGCCCACAATTTTGCTGTCGTCTCCTTTTATTTGGTTTTATCTTCTTCTTCCTATCCTTTTCTCAAATATACAATCAGCAGTAGTACCTCTATAATTGCACCAAAAACTTCCTCCTTTTACTCTCTCTTTCTCTTGAGCCTCCACAAAAAAACTTGTTTAACCATCTCCTTAATTGAAGGCTCATGTAAATTAGCTGTTGATTTTGTTTAAGAGAGGAAACAATTTGTTTTTCTCTCTATAAATTGAAGGAAAAAGAAAAAAAGGAAAAGATTGGGGCTTTCTTGTTTATTACATGTCAGTTTTCTGAAATGGAGGCTAATGAGATTTNACCCTTCTGGTTCATGATAAATTCGGCTTTTAGCCAAGAGTTTTTGTTTGTTCTTTTGAGGCTCTCTCGGTAAAGTTTGAGTCTTTTTTCACTACTCGTGCAGTTAACTTAACCACTAGTTCCAGGTTTGCTCTTTCTCTAAAGTTTTCATCTTTTTTGCTTTTTCCAATTTTTTTCTTTCATTTTGTAATATGGGTTTTTTGGTGGTTCACTGATTCTTGTTTGGGTTGCAGCCTTGCAGGTTTTTCTTGCACAAATAGATAAAAAGAGGGGCTTTTTCAAATTTTTTTTCCTGAGAAAAAAAATAAAGAATCACTAATGTTGAGAAACAGATCTAGAGCTGTGAAAACCAAACAAGCCCTTATGGCTGATCAAAATCAAACCTCACTCCCATCTCCCACAATGAACCTTCCTCCATCACCCATTTCATCTTTCTTGAATTCCCCAAGGTTTTTCAATGGTTTACTGTCCAAAAAAACCCAATTTTCAAGTACAGATACTAATTATGCTGTCATGAGCCCAACCTCAATTCTTGATTCCAAAAAAAACCTCAGTTTTGTCAACCACTTTGGCCATGACAACATTATCTTGTCCAAATCTCCAAACCCAACTGCCAAACGAGAGGCTAAGGCGATCGGCCTCGCCTTGATTGACTCGATCGTGCAGGAAAATGCCGATGATGAGGGTAAATCAGGAAAAAAAATATCCAAGCCTGTTAACAGAGTTAACAGAGCAGCTTTGTTTGGATCAAAGCTTAAGGTCCAAATTCCTGACTTAAACCCCAAATCATCGATTTTTCAGAACGAATCGCCAAAATCTCCTGCTGAATTCGGAATCAAGACTCGAAATTCTCAGATTTCGAGCACCCCAGTTAAAGATTTGGCTAGACAGCTGTCCTTGAAAGAAATGGAGCTCTCTGAGGATTATACTTGTGTTATCTCTCATGGTCCTAATCCTAAGACCACACATATTTTTGATGATTGTGTTGTGGAGAGGTGTTTGGGGGATCATTCAGAGAATAATTATTCTGAGTGTCAGAAAATGGAGTTTGGGTTTGAGATTGATTCATCTTCATCTCCATCACAAGATTTCTTGAGTTTTTGTCACACTTGCAAGGATAATTTAGGACAAGGCAAAGACATTTACATTTACAGGTTAGCCTATTTTTTCTTCTTCTTCTTTTTTTTTTTTTTTTGAAGTATTATTATTTTTTAAATCAAAGTTGAGGCATGATAATGATCATAGTAAACAATCTCATAAGTGGGTTAATTCATTTGGTGCATATGTGTTATGGTTTCATTGAGTCAATACAACTCAAATAATTGGCCTTACTGTTTAATGTTTGTTTGTTGGACTCCACAATAATTGAAGGCTGATCTAACTTTATAGTCTTACAGATATTTATTAACTCATTGCCCATTATTTTGAGGAACAATATGCTACTTTCTTCACATATTCTCCTCAATTCTTCTTTTAGTTTGCAAAGTCTCCAAATTTATTTTATCAAATTTATTTGGATTTCAGGGGAGAGAAAGCTTTTTGCAGCCATGAATGTCGGTGCCAAGAGATGTTTTTTGAAGGACTGAAAAATCCAGACTTGGATGGATAATGATATGTCCAGAGCTCTCTTTACATTAAAACTTGAATCTCAAGAGGAATTCAACATCTCCTTACCTAAGAATTTCACCTGAAGAAATTAAAAGCTCTCAACTGTCCTGAATATGATCAATGGAGTCTTTTTTATTTTTATTTTTATTTTTTTCTGCATCAATGTATGTATATTTCATTCTGTTTTCCTAATTTTTCAGTTTTCTTGGATGTATTTTCTGTTTATGTTGAAGGCCTGACCTCCCTTTGCATATACAAGGATAAATGGGAATCAGAAATTATTATAGATATGGATGTACCAAAGTTTTGTCCAGCTACTGTTACATATTTGGCCTCATATTTGGCATGGAATGTCAATGCAATGTTGTTATGTATGTTTAAAGTCATATTTACATATATGCATACTTTTAAGCTGAAATATTTACTCTTACCAATATCAACAGAAATATTATATTGTATAGAATGAGTATGCATCTTTGTTAAAAATTGCTTAAGCTAATACCAAAATTAGGTGAAAAAATGAGAGGAAACAAAAAAATATTATGATCAAATTGAGCCGTACAAGTCTTCTCCTCTCCATTTGGGAATTTCAAAGAATTATTAAAAATGTTATCCCTTTATATAGATATGAGAAAGTGCCAACCTACCCTAATCAAGCAAATAAACCAAAAGACAAGTCCTTTTCAATACTTACCAAGATATAAATGCAACACCATATGTATGAATATTAACATAAAGTTATGAACTTTCTCAGGTAAAACATCTCTTGTTGGGAAATAACACTAAGTATTAGTTGCCAATAATATACAAACCCCACAATAAAGGCAACTGGTGGTTATTACACTAAACAAAACTCCACCAATGAATGTTTTGCTTCATAAAACACAATCATTTTAATGCACGTACTTCTTTCATTTCTTAAACTGGAAAACAAATTTGGAGGATCCAATGGACAGGTATTCATAAAGTCCGCCATTAAGTAGATACAACGGTTAGACATCCTTTTTCAACAAATAAACAAATTTGAAACTAAAATGTCACTCTTCAAATCAAATATAATATAAACATAAATACTGACATTTGATAACATGCATTACAATTTGAGACTTTTTCAACTGAAAAAAATGAAAAACGTGTGTTACAAATATATGACACTGAATTCATCAATCAATTATATGATATCGATGCTTGAAAAATCTATAAGAAGCAACTATTAAAAAAGAACATGTAAGAGAAATGTTGAGTGCAATCATGAATGAAGTAGAAACTAGAGTCTTCCCCAAAGGGTTCGATTATTACATATGTTCAAACGATACCATACAAACTCACAAACCACAACTAGTCGATAATTTCCCCACTTATAAAAAAACATACGACTCTGGATGAGTTTCATAGCAGAAAAACACACATCAGAAACTTAAGAACCAAAAACCACAAAGATAAAAAGATAACAAAGTACTGAAACAGCCTCTCGAAGATAACTCTACAATTGGCTTCTGGTACAGGCACTGCAAAAACAAGAAAAAGTACACATATTAGGAGCTGATGGAGTAATACAGAAAATAACTGCCGAGCATAATCTTCAAGTAGAATGATTACCTGGGACAGGTTGGCGCATGATCAACAATCTCCAATATAAAATGAAACTCAATAACAAGGGAAAAGAAAAGGGGCTGAAAAGAGAAAGCAATATAACAGGGGATAGCTCAGAATGGATCACGGATAAGAACAACAAGCAGAAGGATTATCTAACCCACAACCGAATGCTAAAGCTTACTAGATGAAACTACAAGCAAACCAAACCTAAGCATTAAGAGAAGGTGAAAAAGAAAATAAGAAAAAGGAAGCTCATAGATCCCTATTCCCTGCCCATTTTCTTTATCAAAAACCAGAAAATTTGGCGAAGGGGGTACCAAAGATATAGAAGTCAGAAACTATTTCCCAGAGAAGAAAGAACAAAAAAAAGGATGTAAAAGGACAATAGCAAATGACAAACTCGAAGACCATGCACATAGGAAGAAGGTACAGCATTTACAGTCAACAAAGACTTAATCAGAATACCAGGGCTGTGTTACTCAACCAGGGAAGAAAGAAAATGAAAGGCTAAAGGTCTTAAGTTAGGTTTCTAACCATGTACAAGTATAAAAGAAGAACCACGAGAAAATAAAGCCCTGGAGGAAGAAGTACATTTGACAAACAAAATTGCAACTTTCAACAGCAACTACTTTCCCTGAGCTAACTAATTGCAGTTAAATCCACGCTCCTGTCTATCAACTACAGTATCCACCGATCAACCTCTGTCTTCAGTTAATCATTTCATAACTTCTGGCAAAATCCATTACTGAGCAACCATAAACATTTCCTAATCCTCCCGAAAATTCCACAATAAGAAGACTGCTGGCCAACAGATAACACAACTCTTGCACCACACCACACCATGCTACATAACTAGAGAATGATAAACTCAAACTTTTGATGAAAAGTCATCCCACTGTCTGATCATCTTTATTATATATACAACTATAAACCAACAAAAGTACGTTAATTTCCACCAGCCAGACCACACACTCCTTCAATTATCGGTATCGTCAAGGTTAAGAATGCGGCGGAGAGTCAAAGTAGCAGTAACAGATATGTCAACTGGATCACTCGGCGAATGGCTCGTCATATTACCAGAATCTGAAAGGTCAAATATATCACTGAGGGAAAAGCTTCTCCAAGTCCCGGAATCAGGGAATTCGAATGGACCACCTGGCGAGGGGCTACGTTCCCTAGTTGGGGAAACCGGAGCTGACTTAGCAATGGGGTGGAAATTAATCTCTGAGGCCGCGTTTGGAAGGTCGAGTGATATACTTCTTTTGGGCCTCAGTGAAAATTTAGGTATGGGCAAAGAACTTGGGGGAGGAGAGTTTGAATAGGCCGGCCCAGCCCAACGCTCGGAAAAATCAAAGCCACCCTCACTGCTCTCGATCTTGAATTCAATCGGAATATCAATCGTTCTACTTTTCGCAAAGCCTTTCCTGGGCTTTTGGCTTCTGTTTAAAGATTGTGTTTTGGGTGAAATCGAGGCAGAAAATGCCTTTTCAGAAAGAGGTATTTTTGTGGGGTGGGTTTCGAAAGGGTTTGGAAGCAAACCTTCCTCCGATTGAAAAGTTCGACAGTTAATATCACTGATATTACCCGAAGGAGGCGAGCCAAACGAACCGAATTTTGTCGAACTATAACCACCTTGATTTCTACTGTAAAACTGATTGTGATTCCTATGATGAGCAATGACTAGAGTCTCCATCCTAAGAATTTACAGGGAAACCTCGACTCAATCCTGTTTGCACTTTTATTTAACTCACTTGATCTTAACTACAACTAACCACTGCTAAGAAGAAAGATCAGATCTAACAAGTTAAACAGCCTTCAAAGGTTTACCAATCTTAAACTACCAGAAACTTTAGATCTCCTTCAAATCCACCAAAACCTCAGCAGATCAAACCTCTACTCCACTAAACACGATTCAATCCAAACATCAAACAAATATTTAAATCTCTGAGCACGCGCAACTGAACCACTGCTCTTCAGTTCCTTCAGATCTACACACATCACACAGAAATGAAAACAAAAACATCACCAAAATGAAATGAAAATCACGTTTGCACGAGAACCAGACAGTAGGAAATCTAAAAATACACAACTTAATTACGGAAAAGGAGATGATTTTTTCAGGACTTACCTGATTTCTCGAGTGAGGAAAGAGGAAACAGCGCGGATCTCACTTCAATCTCTCCCTCTCTCCTTCGTACGTGCCTAATCTAACTGTTTGTATATTTGAATCTTAAGCTTTTCTCCCAAACACGAACAAGAGATGAAAATGGCCAATCAAATTTGAAGTTCAGGCACTGTAGTCTTGAGAACCAGCCTGTAATTTTCTGAGAGTGAAAAAATATCAGCGGATCTGAAACGGACTCTAAAATTGTATTTAAGTCTCGATAACAGGCACGGCGTGCGCCTGTTAGTGGGTAGGCAAAATGACTAAATAAGCCCTGGCGTTGAGTGGTAATTACGTTTCACGTCATCCTCGTTGATTAATGCGCCCTAAGAGCACCCACAATGCTTTGGGTCTCTTAATAAAAAATCACATGCTACATGGGAAATAGACTTAGTAATAAAAAAATACTTCTCAATGCAATTAAAAGTGGACATGGTCTAGCTTATGTGACAATGAAAAAAGAGACTAAGTCCACACTTGGGTCTATTTTGGACCCCCAAGTACAAACCCAAACACTCATCATTTGTTCTTAATTTAATTTTTTTTTAATGAATAAAATATATTAGAACATTTCTATTGGTTGACATGTATGCTAGACCTAATCTCTTTATTTTTGCATTGCAAAATTTTTGAGTTTTTTTACTTGGGTTTGTCCATGTCATTTAAAACTCAATCCAATTATATGTCACATATACAAAAAGAGACCCAAAGCATTGTGGATGCTCAAACAAATGTTTTAAAACGCGCTTAGCGCAATTCATCGCGTTTTAGTCTTTATATTGCATAGCGTAAATGGCGTAACGCATTGCGTAAGTTATTCGAGCAATTCACTTTTATTGACAAAAAAAATAATATATAACCATAAAAGTAAATTAATAATTAAAATAGTCTTAAATCATAATCTTTAAAATTGAATATAAAAAATAATATTCAAATGTTAATTCTCCAAACAACTAAAGTCTTAATGTTTAAAGTAAAGATTCAAAATCTTAAAATGATCGGTGTTATCTAACTAAATTTGGCTATCATTGTTAATTCTATCAAAGTTATTGAGATTTTCACTATAAAAAATCATCGGTACAATTTCACTAAATTCTTGCATCTCATCATCATTTGGAGAAAAAAGGGAAGTGTTCTTCTCATTTCACTTTTGAGCTTAAGAAACATAAACATTCCATAATTTTAATAGTTCAAATGGTCAATCATAGCTATGTTGATACTTTTTTTTTTCAAGAGAAATACGAAACATGATTTAGTAATCACTCAAATTCACCATGGATGAAATTACTCAGTTTTGTTCCCTACGTTTTTTTTTTATATTTTATTATTTTCTTATTTATTTGTTGCCTATATAAAAATGATTGTCCAAATAACGTGAGAAATAACGTAAATTGCGCAAATAGCGCAAAATATAGCGTAAATTGCTTAAATAGTGCAAAATATAGCGTGAAATTGTATGCATTTTTCTAAATTGCGCTAAATTTTATATGCAATGTCGCGTTTTTGGGTAAAAATACGCTATAGCGTGCTTCGTAACATGCGAAATTGCGATATTTAAAACACTGATTTAGATCACTATAATAAGTAATATGATAAAAAAATATATATCTATATTTCTTAAAAAGATTGACTAGGGTATCAAATTCTAAATGTTTGCGCCCACAAGGCAAAGGGTCATCAGACCACGTGTCATGCAATAAAACATTGTGACATTTAGGTTGAAAAATTTGAGAAAATAGTATTGTAAGCCGTTTCTTTATTGTATCAAAAAAATGCTTGAATTTTAATTTTTTATTTGAATTTTTAATTTTAAGTTATTTTCAACACAAAACATACTTTTATATCTTACTTTTCACTTTAAGACTCCAATTCACTTTATATTTTAATATAATTATATAAATAACATTTTTTTTTCAACTTTATTTTTTAAATACTTATAATGAAAAATATTAAATATTTTTAGTAAGATTATCTAATAAGATAATTATTTCACAATTTACATTTATGCAAAAATTTCATGAATTGTATTTTAAAGTTAAAAAATAAATTTTAACTTAATTTTAATCTGAATATGTGATAACATTAAATTATAAATTATTTAAAAATATAGTTTTATTTTTTTAAATAAACTTATAGAATTACCTACAATAGAATTTTGCGGGGAAGCCAAGTGATTGGTACCTATCTTGCTTGCTATTCCATGACATACAGGCTGACGGAATATTTTTAAATTTTTTAAATAAATTTATAGAAAATATTATTTGAGAATAAACATACCTATAATAGAATTTTGCGGGTATTAGTTTTATATATTTTTAACTTTTCAAAAATGTCGCATTTTTATTAATTATGGCCAAATTAAATATTAACAAAAAGTAAAAATAATATCATTAATTGTATTGTTACTCGTTATATAGAGATTCACAACACATCTAATAAATCTCTTCCAAATTTAAAGTTTGTCAACCTAGAGTAAAAATAAAAGATACACCTGTAGAAAATTAAGTAGACCCCATTTCATGTGAGTGTTATATACACTTATTATATACTTGTAGCATTTTTTCTCTATTTTTTACTTAAAATTAAAAATAAAAAAATAAAAATAAAAACAAAACAAAAAAACGTAGAGAAAAAACCAGAATTTTGGCCATGATACTGGCTGTTCTTTTCATCTTTATCTCCTCCCTCTTCCCTTGCCAATAATCCCAATTTCAGTACCATCAATTTGATTACTTTTTTATTTTTTCCCTTGTTTTCGTTCTTAAAAATTAAATCTTTGCCTTTAATTTCATCTGGGCTTGAATTTTTTCCCCTTTTTGTCGAGGCTTTGTTCTTGATATCTAGGAGAAAAGGGTAAAGTAGCTGTTTAATCTCTGGAAAAAAATGAAGGTTCATCCGATGCCTAGGATGCGCGGCAACCTCACACTGCGCTACGACGTCGCTTCGGCCCTGGCTCAGGCAAGTGGCTGCCGGCAGAAGAAGCTGCGGCGACTGCCCCACATCTTCGCGAAGGTGCTGGAGCTCCCCTTCCGCTCCGACGCCGACGTCTCGATCGACGAGACCCCGGGCTCCCTCAGGTTCACCGCCGCCACCGACGACATCGGCGGCGGGGTCTGGGCCGACGCGATCGAGATCCACCCGGGGGTCACGAAGATCGTCGTGAGGGGGGGCGGCGTCGCCGACCTTTCGGGGACTGAGCTCGAGCTGGACCTCTGGCGGTTCCGGCTGCCGGCCTCGACGCGGCCGGAGCTCGCCTCCGCAGCGTACGACGACGGCGAGCTGGTGGTGACGGTGCCTAAAGGGGCGGCGACCACGGAGGAGGATGAGGAGGACGACGGAGGTACCGACGAGGATGGGCCTAGGCTTGTTATTGTACAGTAAATCAGAAAATTATCTCTTTTTTTTATCCCTGTATGGTGTTGAAAACTTTTATAGTTCTTGATAAACTCTTTGCTTATGTCAAAGAACCCTAATTTCTTCTACCTTAGTGCATAATAAATCCAGTTACACTCAATTTAGCTGAATTAAATTATTGACAGTATTAGATCGGTCAAGATACTTGATCGAATCTTGATTGTGAAAGAAAAGGCTGAATCTTTCAATCAAAACTTGCTCCAGATTTGATTTTTTATTGATAGCCATGATTTGTGAGGACTGAGAAGTTCATCTAATCATCTTGGCATGTTAGTGGTAAAACAGCATCGAAAACTATTCGGCTCACTGCAGTTTTTTGTGTGCACATAGATGTATTCTGGTTTATTACATTTCTATGCATTTGGGTAATGTAGCAGACGTTGTAAATGATTTCTGCTTCTAGAATATGGAAAATGGGAGTCATGTAAGGAGGGAAAAAGGTATTTTCTGGTCTTTAATTTTGATACTCATGGTTGTTTTCTTACTCTTATACTGCAAGTTGAAATTTTGTAGTTCTGAAGTGCATAATAGAAATCTGTGCATTCGGTACAGAAATCTGCTTTACTTTAAGGTTGATAAATGTTCTTATTCATCTTGTTCAACTTGCTCATCCTTTTCTTTCTAGTTTGGGAACTTTGTAATCTATAACAAGTTTGTCCCATTTGTTCATAGTCTCTGTTTACATGGTTTGTTCTTTTGGTTTTCTTATTCATCTATGCCCTTAATGTGCAGGTTTTATTGGTTTTAAGCATAAACCTAAGCTTCTTTAAATTCACATTCCGAGAGCAATGAATTGTTCTTCTCTAATTGTTANAAACTGTTCCTGTTTGTGAGTACTATTAGAGGCTTAATTTTGCAACTAACCAAGCGTAGTAGCCCGTTTTACACTTCTTTTTGTTCTCTCTTAAAAATTAAAATTCCAAGAGCTTATCACCGCAGTGCTAAGTGCAGTCTCATTTGCTAAAAAATATGTCTTTTGTTCAGCCATGAACTTTCTGAGTCCTTCGGGATATGAAGTGATTCTCGAGTGGTGGGGCCTCGACTTTTGTTCGTTTGCTCCGTTTGGTTTTTTGTGTCGTCCGATTAATATTGTGAGGTCTCTTTGTCCATCCCTTGCTGTGTGATGGTGACCACAGAAAAGAGTGGCCATTGTGAAATGGGATATATGCCTGAGTTAGAAAGGAAAAGGATTGGACTCAGCTTCTTGTGTTTTGATGATGTTGATGTGGGATAAATAATAATAAACTATGGGCACCTATTTTTGCTTTTTTTTTTTCTTCATATTTATAAATTTCAACCCACCTGCACTTACTGGGTTTTTTGCTTTTGTGTTGATCACGGAGGAAAACTGGGGGTTTTTTGCTTTTGTGTTGATCCAACGGAGGAAAATCTGTGTGCATGTGTTGCGGTTTTCGGTTCGGTTTTTTCTATGTTGCAGTGCTGTTTTTCACCGAACCGCACCACTGCTCACTCTTAACCTGACACATAATTTTGAAAACTCATTATATATATACATAGGGAAGGATATAATTTCTAATTACAAATACATACAAGACTGGAAAAGTTGTCATTTCCTTCAAATTATCTAGTTTTCTTATTAATCAAATAATCAGATGAAAAAAAGGGTCGGAAGCTGAAAAAGATTGTAACCAGTTTCTCGATTTTATTTATTAATATATCTGAACTCAACCGAATTTGTGAATTAATTTTTTTTTTTTGGTACAAAGAGAGACTAGCGCCTAAGTACCGAAAATCGGTACATGTCGTGGGTACGAGACTCCGATAATGTCGTGGTTTAACCATTGTTGGACTTCATGCGGCGACACATCTAAAGATTGAAAGTGGCGGCAGTACTTGCCATGTAATCCGCAACAAAGTTGGACTCTCGAAATCCATGGAAGACCTTCCCTGACCACTGTCTCTTTAACAAATATTTGATGGCCATGATTAAAGAGCTAGGTATCCCATTCTCAACATTTACACTTTGTATCATCGGAAAAGTACATAGAGTATTTGCTTTCTTGATTACCTGACGATAACTCGAGTTTCATGCTAGGTGGAATCCTTGAAAAAGCCCCATAATTCCTCCCCTAAAATGGAGCAAAATCCGATGTTCATGATAAAAGTCTTTATCCACCGGCCACCTGTGGTAGCCTTCCCCGTAGACGAGTTAAAGGAGCCATTTGAATTCATTTTATCCATCCCCCAGGAAGAGTCGTCCATCGCACATACACCATCTCACTTCCGACCCCGAACCCTCCCAACCGCCGTGATCTCATCACTGCGGAAACGTTACTTTTCCAATTCTCAATTTCTCTCAGCAATCCACCCATGCAAAAGGTTTCTCCCTTAAAATCTTTTCGATTTTGTGCATTCCAAATGCTCCATAAAGCCAGCCCAAAGGTTAAATCCCAATCCCTACTGCCCAAATTTCGAGCGTTTCTCAAATTTATTACCAGTTAGTCCTCCAACTCTGAATTAGGGAAGGATAAACGAGATACTCTCTCGTAAAACACACAAAAGTCACAAATATCAGATTTATTCTTAAAATTCACCATCCCATAACAAAACAGAAGAGCCCTTTAAATAAGGCCCTGAATCTAAACCCTAGCTTATTCCCCAAGCTAACTACTAATTATTTAATAATAATAATAATAATAATAATCAACATCATAGTTATTCTACACTATACTCTCTATAAAACTATGTCCACTAGACCCTACGAACTAAACCTTTTCTAGACTGAGGAGGCGTTTGAACAATCCCTCAACGTATACAACAATGACTCGTCCTGTGTTGGATAAGAATCACATCTATTATCAGTCGTCAGCTTCCGCTAACAACATTCAGAATTTGTGAGTAGCCACAAAAAAAATTTGAACTATTTGTGGTCCGCTCCATGACCACATTACCTTCCATAAGCGTTTAGAGCTCCAGTTCCCCGGTTGAAGTAGACTCTAGTAGGCTGATTTCGTCGTAAATTTGCTATCGTGGGAATAGCCCCAATAAATTTTGTCTTCCCCAGCTTTCAAGCGCATCAGAAGTATGGCCGCCACCTACATTCGAGTTGTTGCCGAAGGAGATGGTCTAAGAGCTCCCATTTCTACATGCCCCGCTCATTAACAAAGAAGTCCACGGTAGCATATAATAAAGCTTCCGGTGCTGGGTCAATAGTAAAGCTAATTAGCGTCTCCCAAGAATTCAGCCATTGGCCCCACCAAAATAGTACCTTGCGGCCAAGCCCCAGTGACCACCTTACTCCAACCGCCAAGTTACGCCATACCTTGCTCAAAGCTTGAAGGATAACTAAACCTCTCGGAAACTTCAAATTTTCGTGCATCTCGAGCGGTGTTTAGATTATATTTGCCTTTAAGATCTGAACCCACAGAGCGTCATTGTTTTTAAAAAAATTTCCTCCTTAACTTCATTAAAAGTGATTCATTCATCAATCTTTGATTCTCGAGTACCAAACCCCTGCAATGTTTTGGCTTACAAACAAACCCCCAATGCACCAGGCTCACCTTTCTATCTGACTATGTACCTCCACATAAAAATCTTGTACACTTCTTTTTCAATTCGTCGCACACAAAATACGAAAGTAAAACCGTTTGCATAGTGTAGAAAAGCAAACAGCTTACCCTCGATTAGACTAGAGTGACTCGTCCCGCCATTGATAACGAAGCAACTTTCCACCTGGAAAGACGTCCCTCCGCTTTAGTCAAATAGCTTGGAAATAATTCAATTTCCCACAAGATAATTATTCTGTACAGGATATTGATTTTGATTAATGAGTCGGAGGACTCAAAAGAAAAGTTGATTTATTGGACACTAACCAAGTCCCATTAGAACATAATTTGGGCCTCAGCCCAACATGACTGCGACATTTCACAAGTAGTAAATTAGTAAATCTGGCCCGCGGAAGATGTGGTCTCACATCAGCAGGCCGCCAGGTTAAATGTTCACAAATCCACAGCGGACCAGTTTAGCTACAAACTACAGTCTACACTCCATTTCAATTGGCATGCCTCAAAATACTACATAAGTTAAAATATGGCATTTCAACAATATAAGTAAATATATTTTGTTAAAAAACTACGTAATCTAACGGTCAGACAACAAGAGTGCAAAAATATTTATCCAAATTTATGATAATTAAGGATAAATAAATCTACTGAAAAATCCAATTGCATTTCTAACTTGTATCCAAAATCTGTGTTAAGGATAAATAAATATACTGAAAACTCCATTCTCATTTCTAACTTGTATTGTACTGTCTACACAACTTTGGATGCATCAACAGCTTGTACTTTCTTGGCAAGTTCACTTAGTCATTGCCACAAGTACGGGTGTGCTTGTGCCCCCCAGTCCCCACTCAATTATTGTATCCATCTGTTACCATATATTTCTAAATTTATTATATTCATTATTGAATTAAGAGGTGCTCTTAATATAATAGATTCTCTTGTACTTGAAACAACACAGTATCTTCCTCTTTCATTTATTTATTTATTTTTTATTTATGCTGACAATAATAGTTGGTGATACAGGTAAGACAATGTCTAGTGTCACCACCTTCTAAATTGCTGACAATAATATTGTGGAAATTTATTATTCAATACGTTCACATAAAACCCACGAGTTCAATGAACATCTTCAAACAAATTTGATGTAGAGAACCAAAAAATAAATAAATAAAAAATGAATGTGAAATAAAATTCAATTATGTACCATAGACTATATTGATTTGATTCTAATCTACAAAAATAAGTGCTCACTCTTCTTCTTGATGGAACACAAATAGTATAATTCTTGCAAGTGATCACATTGAGAAAATTCAATAATTTGGCATTAAACAAACATTGTGAATTATGATATCTGTTCGGATGTAACTATTACATACCTGGCAGATTTTGTGGCACACCAAATTAAAGACACAATTATGAACTTGCCTACAATTAAGGATGGCAGCGGTTCGGGTTCGGATCGGATGGAACCTCAGGGCACCCAAAACCAAAACCCAAACTTAAAAACCAAAACCAAAACCAAAACTGTTTTGGGTGAAAATCCTTCACCAAAACCAAAACACGAGGATACCCAAAAACCAAACGGATACCCAAAAAACCAAAAATATTATAATAAAACACCAAAGACAACAACATAAAACATGATAACTTACAGGGCGGGGCTGCCGGGCGGCTGCCTGCGGGGCGCCTCGCTCGCGGCTCGGCAATGCGCCGCCGTCCGTCACCAGTCGAGGAGAGGGAGGGGTCACGCACGGGAGTCGGGAGAGGAGAAGAGTTCGGTCGGCATTTTTTTTAAGTCGGGATGTTGGTGGCGGCGTGGCTGTTGGTCACGCAGGCACGGGAGAGGATAAGAGGCAGAGGAAATTTCCACTTATATAGCTAGGGTTTTTGGTGGGCTTTTTGATGGGCCGTCTATTTTGGGCACCCAACGGAGCACCACGGGCGAAATATAGGATCCGCACCAAAACCGAAGACTTTCGGGTACCCGAAACCGCAAAACCGTGGGTGAAATTTGGAACCAAAACCGAAAACCGCAGAACCAAAAACCGCGGATATCCGAACCGAAACCGAACCGCTGCCATCCTTACCTACAAAACGTGGAGAACCTCAATATCACAAGTTTTTAATAACAAACTGTCTAATCGTTAAACAAAAAGCATGCATGCCATTTCAACTTGTAAGTGTCAGATATCTATATATATATATATATAATTACTAGCCTTTTATTTAATTTTACCTCATAAATAAAACCTAATAAATTTTACCTAATAAATAATATAAACTTTCTAAATACAAAAACCGTTACTTTTACAAAATACATCAATTTAGGACAGTTACAAAATCTAAACTAATGACCACTATTTTATCTAAGTATATCAATTTAGGTTAATTAGCTAAAAATATTTACTTTTTTAATTTCTTATATAATCATTACTATGCAAACTTAATTACGAATTATTTATTATAGAAACTCCTGATTACATAAGCATGTATTCAGAATATAAATTTTTAAAAGAAATTTATATAAATATTTAATTGGAATATCTATTTTTTGATGATATCACTACAATAATTAATCATGGTGAAAATGGAAAATGCAGCACATATACAAATGGACAAATACATTAACAACAATACAAAATAATTTCACCAGCTCTGGAAATTGTATCATATAATAGTTATTATTACAATTAATAATTATATTTTACACTAAATGATATTTGAAAGTTACATAAACATAAGAAACTATATTGTAAAACCTTTTTGTTCGAGTAATTTATTATAAAATCAATATAATATTTCTTTATCTACTTAAATAAATTAATTTTTTTAATGGCATAGTAAAATTTCTTAAAATCACATAACAATTGTTATAATGAAATTTAATATTTTTTAGCTAATTAATTAAAGTCCCTTAAAATTTCAAAAAATACATTATTTATTTTATTTATACAATCAATATATTGATTCATATACAATCAAATCATTATGTACTATTTATTTTAACCAATAATCAAATTTTAAAATATAATACCTTTATTTAACTTATAATTTTAATATTATATGCATAAATATAACTTATAATAACCTATGTTTAATATATAATATCATTATCTAACTTAATAGTTTTAATATCATATCATACAAATAACAAATAATACTTCATTTACATCTGTGCAAATGCATAGGATTGAATACTAGTTTGCTTAATAGCTTGCACCATATCAAATTAATTATAACAAATCCTTAAATGTGACATATATCATTACAATGGCTATTTTTTTTCAATAATATTTTTTCATAGGCTTATTTTCGCCATTATTATGTTTTCAATTTATCTCTTGTGGCGAGTGTATATATTTATTTGAAATTTTAAATGACATCTCAAAAACCTTTTAAAAATCAAGCTTTAAAAAAGACTATTGATTTTGGTAATAGGGATTT